TATCTTGTCTCCTCATTGGTCATTTTGGTCAGGTGCCAGCAAGGTTACCTTTAGCTTCTTAACCTTTTACAGGTGAGAGGAGCTTTCCCCTGGCCAGGAGGGATTTCAAAGGGGTTTACCCTACAACAGCATAGCATGTTAAAATATTTGCATTCGTTTCTGTTAGTTTAACGACTCTATTATTTCAAGACATAAAATTGGATTTCTTTGTGACCTCAAAGCATCGTAACAAACTAAAGAGTAAACTAAAATCTAATAATGAATTTGTACAGGTATCATTGAAATGAGGGTGACATTTCTAGTCAATATCATTATCATCTTGTTCATCATTTTTATGTATTCTGTTGCGAGTGCATGGGTTACCACAGTCTTCATTGTCTTAACATGTACACAGTTCTGTGCAGGGAGGATTGTTGTGACTACAGGCACACTTGATTGTCCTTAAGGGTCCAGGTACAAAGGGGATCTTGAAGCTAAGGTATCATTGGGCCCTTGAAGAATACAGGAAGTAGTTCATCATCCACATTTTTCCATCCATATTGCAAGGATGATCCAATATCTGGTTTACCTATGTGCAAAGACATCCAAATCTTTGTTTGCTGATATGCTCTTCAAAACTATCTTCACATGGGGGGAGTTTGGCCAGTAACTTGTTCTTTTTGATGGCTAGATTGAGGTGTAATCAAGTCAGATGTCTATGGGTCTCCTTTTCTTAATTGCTCTGGTCATACAGCATGGCTACCAACTTCCTTGCCTCAGAAATTGCAGCTTATCCATCACTCTCTACCAATTTGGCGGATCTCTGAAGAAGTAAGCTCCTTTTATTTTGACAAAGTTAAACACAGATTTTTCCCAATACCAAATAGGGATGACAGAGTCACATCCTGTTGTTGTGTATTATACATTGCATGCGCAGGTTATGAAGTGACGCGTTTCAGTTGTGCTGGTAATGGTGCTTGTCTCAATCCAGGTTGTCAGTATATTCCATTTTTGGAAAGTAGTGAACAGCAAGGATCAAAACATCTGTACCATCTGATCTAATTACTGTAGATTTGATACCAAGAGACCCAAGAGCCATATTGGCATATACAGCATGCAGAAACATCCTTGTGTTCGCTGCCTCTTGAATGCTGTACAAGTCTTGGGCTTCAACACCTCTACTGATGATGGACTTCGCTACTTCACCATTGAAAAAGCCTCCAGCTAGGAGGAATGTTTGTTCTGGGTGTGGTTCTGCACTCTCAGGTGCATTATGAACCATACATTCACAGCGGAATTTTACAAGTGACTGCTTGTTGGGTGCCACATTTAGAAACTTTTCAGCGAAGACATAGGAAATCCACCAATCAGCTGGCATTTCTTCCATCCAACTTTAGATCATGTCTGGTGCTGTCTTTCTGCACTTTTCACAGTTATTGCTGTCATATCAGTCAGACTTCAATTACAGAATTAGCTTTGTCAAATCCTTTCAGAACCTACATTAAGTACTCAGGAGCCAATTCGTCAAATGTGTGGAATTTGTCTCAAAGCCAACATTTGTATGACAGCCATGGCATCTCTGATATACACTGGTTTCTTTGTTGCGTGCTCTTAGCTCATGGATTCTTTCAGCTTGAAAGCTTCTAGCTGATGCCAAAATTCAGCTCTGTCTATTCTTATCATTGTCCCATCAGCATGGAATCACGGGTCCTATTGGATGACAGTTTCCTTTGAAACATCATCTCTGCATCTTGCTAAAGACAGGGCTCTATGGGAAACAGTTTTTGGATTGATAGCTGCTGTGATTGTCCCCCCCGTTGGACTTAAATTTCGTCATCTTGACCATGTCAGCAAATCAGCCCTTTAGACCCCAAAACCATTGAACTTTAAATTTGCCATTTTCTTTTTCCTTGCTTTCCATCGTGATCGGGGTTAGACAACTGGATGGCTATACATTGCCAGCATGGTCAGGGAAGGAGGGGAATCCAAGGCCATTGTAAATAATTTTCGATGTAGAATCCTATAACTTTGATTCAGGTAAATAGTAGGGGCTAAAACACTTTTTTGTAGACTGGATGAGCCATGAAATACCACTTCTCAATGGCATTTCTTTGACTTTCCCTCCTGTCAAAACTTCAGAAGTTCTTATCCTGCTTTCCAGTCAACCATGGAAAATTGCTTTCTTATATATACACCTTTTTCTTTCTCTGGGTATGTCTACACTACGGAATAAGGTCGAATTTATAGAAGTCGGTTTTTTAGAAATCGGTTTTATAAATTCGAGTGTGTGTGTGTCCCCACAGAAAATGCTCTAAGTGCATTAAGTGCATTAACTCGGCGGAGCGCTTCCACAGTACCGAGGCAAGCGTCGACTTCCGGAGCGTTGCACTGTGGGTAGCTATCCCACAGTTCCCGCAGTCTCCGCTGCCCATTGGAATTCTGGGTTGAGATCCCAATGCCTGATGGGGCTAAAACATTGTCGCGGGTGGTTCTGGGTACGTGTCGTCAGGCCCCCGTTCCCTCCCTCCCTCCGTGAAAGCAAGGGCAGACAATCATTTCGCGCCTTTTTTCCTGAGTTACCTGTGCAGACGCCATACCACAGCAAGCATGGAGCCCGCTCAGGTAACCGTCACCCTATGTCTCCTGGGTGCTGGCAGACGCGGTACGGCTTTGCTGCACAGTAGCAGCAACCCCTTGCCTTCTGGCAGCAGACGGTGCAATACGACTGGTAGTCGTCCTCATCGTGTCCGAGGTGCTCCTGGCCACGTCGGCTGGGAGCGCCTGGGCAGACATGGGCGCAGGGACTAAATTTGGAGTGACTTGACCAGGTCATTCTCTTTAGTCCTGCAGTCAGTCCTATTGAACCGTCTTATGGTGAGCGGGCAGGCGATACGGACTGCTAGCAGTCGTACTGTACCATCTTCTGCCAGGCAGGCAAGAGATGAGGATTGCTAGCAGTCATATTGCACCATCTTCTGCCGAGCAGCCATGAGATGTGGATGGCATGCAGTCCTTCTGCACCGTCTGCTGCCAGCCAAAGATGTAAAAGATAGATGGAGTGGGTCAAAACAAGAAATAGACCAGATTTGTTTTGTACTCATTTGCCTCCTCCCCTGTCTAGGGGACTCATTCCTCTAGGTCACACTGCAGTCACTCACAGAGAAGGTGCAGCGAGGTAAATCTAGCCATGTATCAATCAGAGGCCAGGCTAACCTCCTTGTTCCAATAAGAACGATAACTTAGGTGCACCATTTCTTATTGGAACCCTCCGTGCAGTCCTGCCTGAAATACTCCTTGATGTACAGGCACCCCCTTTGTTGATTTTAGCTCCCTGAAGCCAACCCTGTAAGCCGTGTCATCAGTCGCCCCTCCCTCCGTCAGAGCAACGGCAGACAATCGTTCCGCGCCTTTTTTCTGTGCGGACGCCATACCACGGCAAGCATGGAGCCCGCTCAGCTCACTTTGGCAATTAGGAGCACATTAACCACCACACGCATTATTCAACAGTATATGCAGCACCAGAACATGGCAACGCGATACCGGGCGAGGAGGCGACGTCAGCGCGGTCCCGTGAGTGATCAGGACATGGACACAGATTTCTCTGAAAGCATGGGCCCTGACAATGCATGCATCATGGTGCTAATGGGGCAGGTTCATGCTGTGGAACGCCGATTCTGGGCTCGGGAAACAAGCACAGACTGGTGGGACCGCATAGTGTTGCAGGTCTGAGACGATTCCCAGTGGCTACGAAACTTTCGCATGCGTAAGGGCACTTTCATGGAACTTTGTGACTTGCTTTCCCCTGCCCTGAAGCGCATGAATACCAAGATGAGAGCAGCCCTCACAGTTGAGAAGCGAGTGGCGATAGCCCTGTGGAAGCTTGCAACGCCAGACAGCTACCGGTCAGTTGGGAATCAATTTGGAGTGGGCAAATCTACTGTGGGGGCTGCTGTGATGCAAGTAGCCCACGCAATCAAAGATCTGCTGATATCAAGGGTAGTGACCCTGGGAAATGTGCAGGTCATAGTGGATGGCTTTGCTGCAATGGGATTCCCTAACTGTGGTGGGGCCATAGACGGAACCCATATCCCTATCTTGGCACCGGAGCACCAAGCCGCCGAGTACATAAACCGCAAGGGGTACTTTTCGATAGTGCTGCAAGCTCTGGTGGATCACAAGGGACGTTTCACCAACATCAACGTGGGATGGCCGGGAAAGGTGCATGATGCTCGCATCTTCAGGAACTCTGGTCTGTTTCAAAAGCTGCAGGAAGGGACTTTATTCCCAGACCAGAAAATAACTGTTGGGGATGTTGAAATGCCTATATGTATCCTTGGGGACCCAGCCTACCCCTTAATGCCATGGCTCATGAAGCCGTACACAGGCAGCCTGGACAGTGGTCAGGAGCTGTTCAACTACAGGCTGAGCAAGTGCAGAATGGTGGTAGAATGTGCATTTGGACGTTTAAAGGCGCGCTGGCACAGTTTACTGACTCGCTTAGACCTCAGCGAAACCAATATTCCCACTGTTATTACTGCTTGCTGTGTGCTCCACAATATCTGTGAGAGTAAGGGGGAGACGTTTATGGCGGGGTGGGAGGTTGAGGCAAATCGCCTGGCTGCTGGTTACGCGCAGCCAGACACCAGGGCGGTTAGAAGAGCACAGGAGGGCGCGGTACGCATCAGAGAAGCTTTGAAAAACAGTTTCATGACTGGCCAGGCTACGGTGTGAAAGTTCTGTTTGTTTCTCCTTGATTAACCCCCCCGCCCCTTGGTTCACTCTACTTCCCTGTAAGCTAACCACCCTCCCCTCCTCCCTTTAATCATTGTTTGCAGAGCCAATAAAGTCATTGTTGCTTCACATTCATGCATTCGTTATTCATTCATCACACAAATAGGGGGATGACTACCAAGGTATCCCAGGAGGGGTGGTGGAGGAGGGAAGGAAAATGCCACACAGCACTTTAAGCACAGCACTTTAAAAGTTTACAACTTTAAAATTTATTGAATGACAGCCTTCTTTTTTTTGGGCAATCCTCTGTGGTGGAGTGGCTGGTTGGCCGGAGGCCCCCCCACCGCGTTCTTGGGCGTCTGGGTGTGGAGGCTATGGAACTTGGGGAGGAGGGCGGTTGGTTACAGAGGGGCTGCAGTGGCAGTCTGTGCTCCAGCTGCCTTTGATGCAGCTCAACCATACACTGGAGCATACTGGTTTGGTCCTGCAGCAGCCTCAGCATTGAATCCTGCCTCCTCTCATCATGCTGCCGCCACCTTTGAGCTTCAGCCCTGTCTTCAGCCCGCCACTTACTCTCTTCAGCCCTCCACCTCTCCTCCTGGTCATTTTGTGCTTTCCTGCACTCTGACATTATTTGCCTCCACGCATTCGTCTGTGCTCTGTCAGTGTGGGAGGACAGCATGAGCTCGGAGAACATTTCATCGCGAGTGCGTTTTTTTTTCTTTCTAAGCTTCACTAGCCTCTGGGAAGGAGAAGATCCTGTGATCATTGAAACACATGCAGCTGGTGGAGAAAAAAAAAGGGACAGCGGTATTTAAAAAGACACATTTTATAAAACAGTCGCTACACTCTTTCAGGGTAAACCTTGCTGTTAACATTACATACATAGCACATGTGCTTTCGTTACAAGGTCGCATTTTGCCTTCTCCCACCGCGTGAACGGATTTTGGTTGAATGCCAGCAAACATACACTGCAATGCTTTGTTCTACAGTGATTCCCCAGTACGTGTTGCTGGCCTGGAGTGGTAAAGTGTCCTACCATGAAGGACGAAATAAGGCTGCCCTCCCCAGAAACCTTTTGCAAAGGCAGAACCGCAAATGCCAGGGCAAAGTAATCCTTTCACATGCTTGCTTTTAAACCATGTATAGCATTTTAAAAGGTACACTCACCAGAGGTCCCTTCTCCGCCTGCTGAGTCCAGGAGGCAGCCTTGGGTGGGTTCGGGGGTACTGGCTCCAGGTCTAGGGTGAGAAACAGTTCCTGGCTGTCGGGAAAACCGGTTTCTCCGCTTGCTTGCTGTGAGCTATCTACAACCTCCTCCTCATCATCTTCTTCGTCCCCAAAACCTACTTCCGTATTGCCTCCATCTCCATTGAAGGAGTCAAACAACACGGCTGGGGTAGTGGTGGCTGAACCCCCTAAAATGGCATGCAGCTCATCATAGAAGCGGCATGTTTGGGGCTCTGACCCAGAGCGGCTGTTCGCCTCTCTGGTTTTCTGGTAGGCTTGCCTCAGCTCCTTCAGTTTCACGCGGCACTGCTTCGGGTCCCTGTTATGGCCTCTGTCCTTCATGCCCTGGGAGATTTTCAGAAAGGTTTTGGCATTTCGAAAACTGGAACGGAGTTCTGATAGCACGGATTCCTCTCCCCAAACAGCGATCAGATCCCGTACCTCCCGTTCGGTCCATGCTGGAGCTCTTTTGCGATTCTGGGACTCCATCACGGTCACCTGTGCTGATGAGCTCTGCATGGTCACCTGCAGCTTGCCACGCTGGCCAAACAGGAAATGAGATTCAAAAGTTCGCGGTTCTTTTCCTGTCTACCTGGCCAGTGCATCTGAGTTGAGAGCGCTGTCCAGAGCGGTCAGAATGGAGCACTCTGGGATAGCTCCCGGAGGCCAATACCATCGAATTGTGTCCACAGTACCCCAAATTCGAGCCGGCAACGTCGATTTAAGCGCTAATCCACTTGTCAGGGGTGGAGTAAGGAAATCGATTTTAAGAGCCCTTTAAGTCGAAATAAAGGGCTTCATTGTGTGGACGGGTGCAGGTTTAAATCGATTTAACGCTGCTAAATTCGACCTAAAGTCCTAGTGTAGACTAGGGCTATGACTCCTTGTGTTTTCAGGAAGTCCGTGAAGGACTACCACATGCTGGTTCTAATTTGCCCATCTTGACCAAGAAGCCATTTTCCTGAGGCCCCTTCAGATAGATCTCCATCCCACAAGTGAAAATATCACTCTCCTTGGACATGCTTCACTGGGCTTTCTGGTACAAACCTGAAACTGAAAAGGAAGCACTAGGAACGTGCATTTTTCCTCACTTGCTCAAGTAGTTTAATCTTCTCCAAATATTCTGAAAAACAGTGCTTTACAGCTTAAGGGAAGGGTCTTTAGGTCATTGAAATTAAAGGACAAGTCTTCACTTTGGGATTTGCTGGGAGACAGGGTCCTCTTGTGAGGCACACTCATATTTTCCATTTCTTAAAGACCATTTCTAATCTTAAATCCCATGTCAAGGCTTACCTTCCAACCTGGAATCTCACTTAAGTATAATAGCCTTGACAATCTTTTCCTTATTTTCTGCTGGATGAGTTTCCCTTTTCACTTCAGTGAAGATGTGGTCTTAACATGACTGTGCCTCAGTACAAAAACGCTCTGTGTTCTTTATTTCACAGACTCTGAGAATTTCCTGTCTAGGAGGGCTCCCTTCCATAAATGCAATAATTTGGATGACCTGCTAGAAGTATAATTAATATATAAGTAGATCAGAATCAAAGTTCTGCAAACCTGCCGCCTAATCCTCACTATTTCACCTTTGTGAGGGATTACCATCTAGATGTCCAAGTCTGCAGCCTTGAAACACAAAGGCCTGCAGATGGTACTTCTTTCCTAAGTCATAATTTCTCTCTGTGTGTGTTCGTTTCCTGCCTTCCTTTTGTGTGACACTACTTTGGGCCTGCGTCTCAGTAGTCTTGAATCTGGATTATCAAATGCACTCTGCTGGAGAACGGGACAACATTATTCTACCTGTAATTTGGGTTTCATAGGAGCGTACCTGCTAATCCATCGTTCCCTCTATTTCTGCATCTTAATTCTGTTTCACCATAAAAGGATCCTGAATTAAGCAAATCTTTGGACATTTCTCCTGAGGTCATGTGCCTTCTCCTGTATTTTTCTGTGTTCTCAATGCCAGAAGGAAAACTTGCAATAATGAAAACAGAAAAACTCATTAGTAAAGTTCAGATTTTGTCACAGCTATTTTTAGTAAAAATGACAGACAGATCGTGAGCAATAAAAAATTCACGGAAGCCCATGACCTGTCTGTGATTTTTCCTAAAAACATCCATGACAAATGAGGATGGAGGAGGGTCCACTACCCACAGCTCTGGGGTCCCCCTGCTGTCTGGCGGCTAGGAGCTGCTGGGGGCCCGTTGCCAGAAGTGGCTGAGAGCTGTGGGGCTGTTTGCTGACTGTTCCATCCCCAGAGCAGAAAATGTCACTGAAATCTCTGGAAATCATGGACTCGATGACTTCTGCAGCCGCTGGTGTGGCTTCTGGGGAAGTCTCATGCCACATACACCCCCAGCAGCAGGAGGAGTTTGGGTGGGGCTGGAGGTTGGGGCACGGGAGGCGGTGAGGGCTCTGGGTCGTGCTTACCTTGGGATGGGTCTCCCTGGAAGTGGTTCCCAGCCAATGGAAGCTGCGGAGCTGGCAGCTCATAGAGATAGGAGCTTAGGGAGGGACATGTCACTGCTTCTGAATTGAGCCCCCCTGGACTGCCCCTCCCCAGCACCTGCACCCCCCACCCCAAACACTTGCTGCACCCCATACCCCTGCCTCCGAGTACCTGCAGCACCTCCTGGGCCGCTGCCTCCAGCACCCACAGTACTCCCAAGATTTAGTCAGGGGTATAGTACAAGTCATGGACAGGTCACAGGCCATGAATTTTTATTTACTGCCAGTGGCCTGTCCATGATTTTACTAAAAATACCTGTGACTAAAAGGTAGCCTTACTCATCAGTGTTTGTTTGAAGGACAGCCCTCCTTCCTAATAGTGCAGAATCCAAATTGGCAGATCTGTTTCTCTGAGAAGAATTGTTTACTTCACTTCATTTCTAAAGTAACATTTCTAGGTAATCCCAGTAGGATATCCCTGTACTGCATTGTCGCTAACCAGTATAATAAAACAAAACACGCTTAAAAACACAGTCAAGATTTATCATCTCATTTCTCAATTTCTGCTTTCAGGCTGCCAACAAGTGATGGCAGTGCATCAAAAGGAAAACAGCAAACCAGCGAGCCTGTTCATATTTTAAAGAGGTCATTTGCAAGAACTGTCTCAGTGGTGAGTACCAGTTACAGTCTTCATTTTCTATGTATTCATTTCTGATTGCAAAATTTAAAGAATTTCAAGGAAATTTTTTTAATTTTACTGTATTTTCCGCTACAACTTAATAAAAATTCACATACATTGAGAGGAAGCTAGATGTATTCATGTATTAAAGGCAGTTTTTTTCAGTTCTCAGTCAACATTCAAATGCAAACTCATGTCCGAGTAAACTTTGGTTATCATTGTGGTTGTCCAGAAAATATAACTGCATATTTATTGCAGTATGTTTTTACCTTTTAATGAGTAAGCTAGTTTGGAAAATTGCCTTCACTTTTGATGTGTAAATATTCATATGTATTGATAGTATCACAAATAGTTGTCTTTACCAGCTAATAAGTTGTTAATGATTCCACGCAGTTTTGAGGCACCTAGTACTGTCTGTTGCAGGGGTGGCCAACCTGTGGCTGTGGAGCCACATGCGGCTCTTCGGAAGTTAATATGCTGCTCCTTGTATAGGCACCAACTCCAGGGCTGGAGCTACAGGCACCAACTTTCTAATGTGCCAGGCAGTGCTCTCTGCTCAACCCCTGGCTCTGCCACAGGCCCTGCCCCCACTCCACAATGCCGTGCCCTCGATCCTCCTCTCCCCCCCCTCTTCCCCAAGCCTCCTGCACACCACGAAACAGCTGATTGGGAGGTGTGGGGAGAGATGGGAGGAGGAGGCTCTGATTTGCAGGGCTGCTGGTGGGTGGGGAAAGCTGGTAGCGGGTGGGGGAAGCTGCTGAGGGGCACACATATCACGTACACGTACCCCATACACTGTGCTGACAGCTTGTGCCACATGCTCTCAAAGAAACTGCGGAACCATCTGATCAACATCCTCTACAGCAAACAGGGAGGGATTAAGAATGAGCTCTCAAAACTGGATACTCCCATAAAAAAACAACCTTCCACATAAACTTCCTCATGGCTGGACTTTACAAAAACTAGACAAGCCATTTACAACACACACTTTGCTTCTCTACAAAAGAAAAAGGACACTAAACTATCTAAACTACTACATTCTACAAGAGGCCACAACAGTGGTTCCCTTAACCCACCCAGCAATATTGTTAATCTATCCAACCATACCCTTAGCCCAGCAGAAGAATCTATCCTATCTTGGGGCCTCTCCTTCTGCTCCTCCACCCCCACGAACATGATACAGTTCTGTGGTGACCTAGAATCCTATTTTTGACATCTCCGACTCAAGGAGTATTTCCAACACACCTCTGAACAACATATTAATCCACAGAGACCTTCCTACCAAGACTACAAAAAGAAGGATTCTGGGTGGACTCCTCCTGAGGGTCGAAACAACAGACTGGACTGCTACATAGAGTGCTTCTGCCGACGTGCACGGGCTGAAATTGTGGAGAAGCAGCATCACTTGCCCCATAACCTCAGCCATGCAGAACACAATGCCATCCACAGCCTCAGAAACAACTCTGACATCATAATCAAAAAGGCTGACAAAGGAGGTGCTGTCGTCATCGTGAATAGGTCGGAATATGAACAAGAGGCTGCTAGGCAGCTCTCCAGCACCACTTTCTACAAGCCATTACCCTCTGATCCCACTGAGGGTTACCAAAAGAAACTACAGCATTTGCTCAAGAAACTCCCTGAAAAAGCACAAGAACAAATCCTCACAGACATACCCCTGGAACCCCGACCTGGGGTATTCTATCTGCTACCCAAGATCCGTAAACCTGGACGCCCCATCATCTCAGGCATTGGCACCCTGACAGCAGGCTTGTCTGGCTTTGTAGACTCCTTCCTCAGGCCTTATGCTACCAGCACTCCTAGCTATCTTTGGGACACCACTGACTTCCTGAGGAAACTACAATCCATCAGTGATCTTCCTGAAAACACCATCCTGGCCACTATAGATGTAGAAGCCCTCTACACCAACATTCCACACAACGATGGACTACACGCCGTCAGGAACACTATCCCCAATAATATCACGGCAATCCTGGTGGCTGAACTTTGTGACTTTGTCCTCACCCATAATTATTTTACATTTGGGGACAATGTATACCTTCAAATCAGCGGCACTGCTATGGGTACCCGCATGGCCCCACAGTATGCCAACATTTTTATGGCTGACTTAGAACAACGCTTCCTCAGCTCTCGTCCCCGAATGTCCCTACTCTACTTGCGCTATATTGATGACATCTTTTTCATCATCTGGACTCATGGAAAAGAAGCCCTTGAGGAATTCCACCATGATTTCAACAATTTCCATCCCACCATCAACCTCATCCTGGACCAGTCCACACAAGAGATCCACTTCCTGGACACTACCGTGCTAATAAGCGATGGTCACATAAACACCACCCTATACCGGAAACCTACTGACCGATATTCCTACCTACATGCCTCCAGCTTTCATCCAGACCACAACACACGATCCATTGTCTACAGCCAAGCTCTACGATACAACCACATTTGCTCCAACACCTACAAGATCTCTATCAAACATTCTTACAACTACAATACCCACCTGCGGAAGTGAAGAAACAGATTGACAGAGCCAGAAGTCACCTACTACAGGTCAGGCCCAACAAAGAAAATAACAGAACGCCATTAGCCATCACCTTCAGCCCCCAACTAAAACCTCTCCAACTCATCCTCAAGGATCTACAACCTATCCTGAAGGACGACCCATC